ACGGTACTGATGATTAGAACTTAAGAATCTACGATGACCAAGAAAGACATTCTTCTGACCAAATTCCAACCGCGTCCAATCTGTGTTTTCTTCACAGATAGGACACGCACATTGACCTTTAATGCTATACCCCGATAGATTTCCGTATGCTGGGAAATCATTAATTGTGCCAAACAACATGGCCCTCAAATTAAAACTTTCTTTCCTATATCCATCATAAACCTCCACACCGTTCTCCCACAAACTTTTTAAGTCTTCGATTAAAGGTGTCAGGTATACGTCTATGTCGTTTCCTGGTTGTTTAGGGCCAGAAATTAACATAGATAACATCATGTACTTACGCTTCATACATAGCCATGGAGGTAGGTTATAAATCATAAGAATTACAGGCCAGGTGGAATGGGAGATACTTTGCAGACCGTGCGGATTCATTCCATCAGTCGATAATGCCAAGCGAAGGTTTCTAGCTTCTTCTCCAAAATCAGGATAATCATTATCAATTTTCATCCACTGTGGTGAATCTGCCGGATGTCGATACTTCCCATCTATAATTCTATCATCTGCATGCCAAGTAAGGTGTTTCGCATCTGTTTCACTACGAAACATGCGTCTGAATCTCGGAATTATAGGAAAATACCATAAGACTTTTGCTGGTGACAACTTTTTCTTATACCGAGATACACCGCATTTAGGACACTCGTTTAATGATGCATACTCATTTCGAAACAAAATGCAATCATTTGGACAAGCATGTATCTTATCATAGCTCATACCAATAGAGCATAACATTTTTTTAGCTTCATAGGTTCGATTGGGAAGAACATTATCCTCCGGAAGCATCTCTTGAAGTAGGGCTAACAACTCTGTGAAACTTTTATCCGACCATCCATTACCCGCCTTTAAGTTGTACAACTTTAATACCGCAGACAATCTTGTGAAAGTAGTGCAACCTTTATACAACGGCTTCTCTACATCGCTTACCAACCTCTCAAACATCTTTGGACAATCTTTAAGATCTTCTTCAAGTGCTTCTGCAATATCTTCGACTCGATCACAATCGTATGTATCCCTACCATTGTCCTTTGAAGTAGAGGTCGTATTGTTCTGGGGTTCAACATTCTCGTTACCTATCTCACCGTGTAATGTCCAACATGTGTAACTTCGATCAATTCCTTGTCTCATTAAATGAGATTCCAACTGAACCGCGTCAATTCGACGCCCATAACAGCAACCTAAGCAAGGACATGTGATCCTACTGGGGTCTTTGGCGTGTTCAACAGCAAACTTAACGAAGTTCGATACCCCATTCTCGTACTCTTTTGACAATCGATTAACAGACATCCAATTTTTATCCATACTATGAAAGTTAGGCAAAAACAGAGAATACCTGTAAAGAAATCACTAACTTCTAAGAAAGTTGTACAGTAGGATGCTTGGAAACAATCACAACCTTGCTCTTCTCAGGTAACCCCTATAACAGACAATATATACATTTTATTAAAATCATATTAATAATTAACCAAAACAAAAAAACTAGATAATCTAACAAAACAAATCATATTAAAAAAAAGTAGATATACTATAATAAACTATTCTACTATTAAAGCATACTTTCATTAATATGATTTTAAACTATTCTAAACTATTTTATAATGCTCAAAATGACATGGACTAAATTAAAGCATACTCTCATAAATGGTGGAAATGGACTAAATTATTCTAAACTATTCTAAACTATTTCATTAATATGATTTTAAACTATTCTAAACTATTAAATCATACTCTCAAAAATGGTGGAAATGGACTAAATTATTCTAAACTATTCTAAACTATTGCATTAATATGATTTTAAACTATTCTAAATTATTAAAGCATACTCTCAAAAATTTTGGTAATGGACTAAATTATTCTAAACTAATTTATAATGCTCAAAATTCATTGTGACATTTCAACAAACACCTTGCATACAAAACTCAAGCCAATATCAAAAGAGTAATGCTCATCAATGGTATCAACAAAAACAAGTCAATAACTCAGAAAGAAGTAGCACTAACATCATCTAATCCAGAAAAATGCAATACTAAGACAATAATCCATAAAAATGCCGTAACAGTCGCGGATTTACCGTAACGGTGGAGGAGAACGAACGGTGAACGGCGGCGAAAGGGAACGGCGAACGGCGGCGAAAACAAATGGAAGACGGCGGCGCAAACGGACGGCGACGAAAGCTTCAACGGAGGGCGAAAATGGAAGATAGGGCAATGGAGAAATGAAGAAACGAAGAAGAAAACGAAAAAACGCGTGTTCTGTTTCGTTTACAATTCTGGAGGGTATATAAAAATTATTATACTAATACCTTTAGCAGCGCTTTTTAAAGGCCTTTAGCAACGCTTTTAAAAGCGCTTTCATAGGGTGCATTAGCAATGACATATAGCAGCGCTTTATAAAAAAAGCGCTCTCGTAGGGTCCCCTTTTAGCAGCGCTTTTAAAAAGCGCTTTCTAAGGGTCCCTTTTTAGCAGCGCTTTTAAAAAGCGCTTTCTAAGGGTCCCCTTTTAGCAGCGCTTTTTAAAAAAGTGTTGTCTTTGGTAGGTAATTTTTTTCTTTTTTTTTTACTGACTATTTAGCAGCGCTTTTTTTAAAAGCGCTGTCTTTGTATGCGCTGCTAAAAATCAATTCTGGCGTAGTGAAATAAATAAATAAATAAAATATATTAATTAAACATTTACATCGGGTCATTTGTCCCAACCGATGTAAAAAGTTCTAAATAAATAAATAAATAAAATGGAATAAACATTTTACATCGGTCATTTAATTGCAACCGATGTAAAAAGGGGTCTGAAGGATTTTACATCGGTCATTTAATTACAACCGATGTAAAAAGTGCAAGACCTTAACAGGTTTTTGCATCGGTCCATTAACAGGATGCAATGTAAAATGTTTTAAGTTACACGATTTTACATCGGGCCATATGCCAACCGATGTAAAATCTTCCTTAAAAAGCCAAAACCCTACCTGTAATGCTTACATTCTCAAAATTGCAAAACCCATTTTTCTTCTTCTTCCTTAAACGTCCGCCATTTTCGTTCTTTTTCCACCTCCCTCCGCCGGTTTTCTTCTTCTTCCTTAAACCCTCTGTACCTTCTTCTTCCACCGTCCCTCCGCCGCTTCTTTCCATCGTCATCATCTTCTTCTTCCACCGTCTCGTTCCACCGCGTCATCTTCTTCTTCCACCGTCCCTCCACTGTCTCGGTCCACCGTCGTCGTCTTCGTCTCGGTCCACCGTTGCCATCTTCGTCTCGGTCCACCGTCCTTCCATCCTTTTTGGTTCGCCTCCGTTCTCCCTCCACCATTTTTGTTCGCGTGGTTCTTCCTCCGCCATCTTCGCTTGCATGGTTTCTTTAAGGTATTTTTAACACTACATATTTTACTGTTTTTAATAATAACTTTTTGTAAGAATTCTGGATTTTAAAATTTAGTGTGTAGAAAATTCAGTTTGTTTCATATATTTTCAACATCATATTGTTAAATTTAGTAGTGATATTTTTAACATGTAGTGTGTAGAAAATTTAGTAGTTTGTTATATTTTCAACATCATATTGTTTCATATATTTTCAACGTCATATTGTTAAATTTAGTAGTGATATTTTTAACTGCAATTTTTAACATCATATTGTTGCTTAAATTAGTAGTGATATTTAACATTACGTTATTTCAGACGGTAAAATACCAATTTCTCATTATTCAGATAAAGTCTTAGGAGAAACAACCTTGTGCTTGTTGACTTGGAGAGACAACCTTGAACTTTTTCTACTTTCTAGTACTTTGCCGGTGATAACAACGATCTATAAGGTATCTTTAACAGTACATAATTTTACGATTTATAATAATAGCTTTTTGTAAAAATGATTGAAATATTTTGATGTCAATTTGGTTCTATTTGCATTAAAATTGAAGATAAAAATGTTAAATAATTTTGATGTTAATTTGGTTCTATTTGGATTAAAATTGAGTAATAGAATTTTTATGATAATACCATTTTGTTAGGAATAATTTTTATGATTTAATTTTATGCCACTTGTTTGCACGTAGAGACTTTTGTTCTCTCTAATGTGTTCAAAAGAGGGACTATTGTAGGCGTCACAATGATTTAACCACGTATGTGTTAATTTCAGAACATAGGTATGGATCGTGGTTGGATAAGAGCTAATTGATTAAGTACTGAGTACGAACATGGAGTGATGGAATACAGTTTGCCGAAAGTAATGCTAAAAAAATCTTCTTCCTCCTAAAAGTAATGCTGAAAAAAGTCATTGTGTGCTTTTTCTCTGTCCATGTGTTCGTTGTGCAAATGAAGAACCAAAACTTAATAAGAAAGAAATTATGGATCATCTAATTTGTGAAGGGATTCGTCAAAGTTATACACAATGGATATGGCACGGTGAAGTAGTAGCAAAGTCAAATGTGTCTCAAAGAGATAATGTTAGTGTAGAAATGGATAATCGTCTAGAAGACATGATGCGTGATATTGGACAAGATTCGTTTAAGAGGACACATGCGTATGATACTTTTTGCAGTGACAAGGATAAACCTTTGTACCCGGGTCGATGCACAAATTTTACACGTTTGTCAGCTGTGTTAAAATTGTTTAATTTGAAGGCATATATTGGATGGACTGACAAAAGTTTTACCGAATTGCTTGAATTGTTGACACAAATGCTTCCAGAAGATAACGTAATGCCAAATCGTTATTACGAGGCGAATAAGTTATTGTGTCTTATGGGTTTAGAATATGAAAAGATACATGCATGCCATAATAATTATATATTATATAGAAAAGAGTATGTAAACTATAATCAGTGTTCATTTCACATACTTTGGAAAGTTTTTACATCGATGGTAGAACTGATGCATAAAGTCTTTCAAAATGTCTTAAAATACTTTTTACATCGGCTACTAATGGGATTCATAATTTTGAAAGCCTAACCAAAACTAGAGAATGCTAATTAGCTACAAATGAAGAAGGAACCACAATTACGTGCAAATCAACATTGTTGGGTGGTAATTGCAAACGAAGTGGATACACTTTTGCATTCAAGGGGTTGCGAGAACATACAATAATATCATCCCGCTCTATCTCTTCTTGCAACTTCTCCTTTAACTCAATTACACTACTTCCTTTAAATGTAAAGAACTTTTCTTCGCATCCTTCTGGAACATCTCCATTTTCATCACCCATGTTATAAAATATAATCCTCCCTTCTTTTACCGGTGAGCCCATATCTTCTACATCAGAACTCTGCATTTGAAAATGACATTTAAGAAAATTGGTTAACATATGATTTGATATGCGCATCCTTAAATTTTATACATGGACACAAACCTCAATTGGTATGGAAGATCTAAGATCAATTAAAGCGAATGGATTATCATTATCTGAATCAACATCGGGAGAAAGTGGAGGAGAAGGAGAATGAGAAAGAGAACGATCAGTTGAAGAGTCAGTGGGACGAACAACGTGTTCAGCAACACTTGGTATGGAATCTTCTATTTGTTTAGGTGGTGGTGGCCGAATCTCGACAAGATCCACTTCCCATAGAACCCAATTTGTTGTTTTTGACCGGTGTGGAATGTCATGCGTGATCGAATTTCTCCAAGGCGGTAATCCTCCGTTGGCGCGTAAATATTGACCATACCGAGTCCTAAGCCTAATGTGATCACCTTCTCTTATAGGTTCCCATTCCAAAGATGAATTCAACCTCGAGGGAAGAGTTTGCACCACTTTTTTCCCCTTTGCTCCTAACAAGAATGGCATGTTAGAGGCTGTTAAATATTTTCCAAAAATACTCTTCAATCGAATCAAGTTTGCATGTTCTATGATCTCCACCGTCCATTTTGCATTTCGGCAGCAACCAAGACGATCTTGATGAACACCTTCTTGATCATCATCTGCCAACAAGTATTTATCATGGTGGCTTCTCAATCGCACCACTTTAGCCCTTTGGAAGAATTCCATTTTCACCTAAATGGAATCCAAATGGAGATCTTGAAACTTGATTGATCGATGAGTTTCAAGATGGATGGGAATATTGAGATGCGCAAACTATATGAAAATGGGGGTAGATATTTTGTTATGATGAATTATCATGTTTGTTTTCATACGTGTTAGTTACGAATGATAGAAGCCTTCGCCCAAAATTAGTGTATCGATTTGCCAAAAATAGATAACAAAGAAATGCTAAATAGTTTATAGTAACTAATAATTGTTGAAATATTATTAACGAATCCACGTTTTTTATTAATGTGTTTTGACACGTCTGATGCATGGGTATAATATAAAATGTAATAACTCAAAAATTCAAAGATTTTTAAAAAGTATAAATTAAAAGTGTTGGAATAGATATATTACTACACCATTCCTAACTTAAGACATATAATAAGTAGGTAGAAGAAAAACATACATTAGAATGCCTTTTGTTAATGTCTCAAAAATCTAATGCAAATAAATTAGATAGATTGTAAGATGTTATAATGAAATTGCACGTATGAATGTATGTAAATATTATTTATGCTCTGAGTTAGTTAAAAGAATTTCAGCCTTTTACTACGTTTCCGGAAGAGATATGATATCCTAGTTAAGAATGCAGACAATCTTAATCAAAAACTTAGTAGATAGATTTCTACATTTCACTCTTATAAATTAATAAGTTGTTATAATTGCCCTACTATATAAGAGGGAGACATGTTATTTCTCAAGAACTTTTTAATTAAAATTTCATTTATTCATCTTAATCTTATACTAACTTGAGTGTTGGGGTACTAATCTTGCAGGTCAGTCTCCCTTCCACCGCACCGAAAAATCAAGTCCACTGTTACAATCTGCATCCTTCGATCACCGATCAATTATGGTTACCTCACAGAAAAGTGGCGCAGTCCATGAGAATCAACATTTGATTCCCGTGTTTTCCAAGTTTTAACATCTGTCTCTCGCTTTATTAAACCAAAGCTTCCTTAACATAAAGATTCAGATTTCCTGAATGTGAACCGTAGATCTTTGATCTTAATTTGCTTCGATCAAAGATTAACACTGCTTCTTTGATCTCCATACATATCCACCAGCAATGTTAGGTTACGTAGCTACTCGTTACGCAACACATAATGAGAAAGTCGCAGTTACTCAAGTTGCAAGAGATCCACCACATTAAAATCATTATGTGTTGATCAAGTCTTCATTAACATTCACTATACCACCACATTAAAATCATGTTCAACCTCTTCTATTCGTAGGATCTACTCCATAAATTCAACAAGGTGAATCATCGCTCAAGCCTCTAGCACCAGCGGTCGTACTTAGAGATGAGGCATTACCTGATTTCCAACTAATGCAAGTCAACCTCGGCATTCAAAGCACTAATGAACTATTGAATGGTGTTTACATTATGGTTCGACAATAGAATTTGCAAACAGTGAAGGAAAGGTTACTTCGCCTCGAAGAAAGAATGCATAATGCAAAGGCAACACGGTGCAAGAAGCCTCTTTCTAAATTATTCATGTTATCATCCTCGAACCGTTCGTGTATCTTCAGGAATGGCTCAAAGATCTTTGAGCCAATGGAGAAGCCAATGACATCATACTCCTCATGTCAGTTCTGAAGAAGGTAGAGGCATTCACGCTCCCCATGAGGAACAATTTGAGGAACCTCTAGTTAAAGATCGAAAGAAACATCTTCTTACTTCTTTTTTCCTCGACATTCAAATACTAAAATCACTATAGAAACCTCCAAAGTTATCAGAAAAAAATATTTAACTCAATAAAAATCACCTCAAAGGGCGTACATTTCTCATGTTACTCAAAATAAGTCAATGCTTCGTGTACAACGGGTTTTGCCCAAAATACATCAAACTACACAAAACAACGGAACTCAAAAGGCATAATCAAGGTTTTCCTCATACGGGAAGATAATCAAAATAAACTCAATAAACATAACTCAACTCAAAGACCCTCAACACGATGTTACACTATCAGAGCAAGACCCTCTAAGTTGACTAAAGGCCAACAACTCAAAACTTCAAAAGTCCTCAACGACGTCCACGGCTAAACCTGGTATCTGCACGTTACCCACGTAGAGGTAACATTCAAACAGGCGGGGTGAGTAAAACAATTCATAATAATCAATGTATAAAAATCAACATATAAACGGCGTCATTTCATATTCAAAACATTCATATCCTTCAATAGGCCTCGAAGGCCACAACGTCATAATTCATACAAAAATACTCATAAATGCAAATGCAACATAGACTCAATGCATGTGGTACCAATCATCACAGCGCGATGGACACTGGGTCGTCAACCCTCCAAAGATCCCCATCAATAGGATTGATTCTACTTGAGAACCGGAGCACATCAAAATACTCCACATCCGCACAATGGGATTGAAGCCAAAGTAATCAAGGTCCTGAACCAAAGTCCAGATACACATGAATGCATGATGCACACGTCACAAATCATCCTCATAATAACATCATAGGTGCATCATCATTCATCATATTCATCATCATCAAACATCATAGCTCATCATCAAAATCGTCATCGTACATCATGTCATCATAATTCATCATAATAATCATCATCATACATCATGTCATCATAATTCATCATAATAATCATCATCATACATCATGTACAAATCACATAGCGCTCATAGTCATACTCGTATTAATTCATCATATTATCACATATTATCACATATTATCACACATTAATTCATAATTATACTTGCGGTAATCGTCATACTATCGCCTATTAATCACATAAACTTCACAGTCTCACTCATGCTAATCCGTCACAAAAATCACAGAATCAAACATCAAGGCATCGCTGCACACGATCAACATTCGCATAACTCTGCTACTTTCGCTGGCATGTTCACTACGCGAGTCTGGGGCGATTTTTTTCGCTAGGAACAACATGGTTCGCTAGGCGAGTATGGGAACAACATGGTTCGCTAGGCGAAGCTTTCATCACTAGGCGACCTGTGCGGCGACAGCAAATTCTGCTACGCACCAGAACTTAAATCCACTCAAATACCCAAACGATTCACTTGCCCAATGCCTCCAAAACATCCCTAAATCATCCCTAAGGTCCTACGGCGATAAAGGCACAAAACCTACAGTTTATTAGGCCAATCCCGGATCATATTCCCACCCTAAATCAAAAATTTTCCTACAATTTTCCCAAAGGCATCAGAGTTACTCACATTCAAATATTCCTATTCCTTCAGGGTCAAATAGGTTCAAATCATAGTTTTGGCCACGAAGGCCTAAGGTTTCCCTTTTTCCCCAATTGAACCACGACTAGATTTACCTATAATCGGTTTAGGCCAAAAAGGCCAAAGATCATAATTTCTCATCTCTACCTTCAAAACCCTTAACCCTTAAATCAACCTTACTACATAGAAATCTACACGTAGAAAATTATGTAATGTAATACTCCCCATACCTTAATTGTCGATCGAAGCCTTCTCAATCATTCAGGAAATTTCTCGAAGCTTCTCCCGCCAATCTTCTACTCAGAGCTCTGCCCTCTATACTTGTCATGGTTAACAAAAATGAATCCTAATTCCCTTCAGCATTCCTTTTTGTCAAACCTAGTCTTGGGCCACACAATTGGGTTTTTCCCTTAACACCCTTACTAAGTCCTCTTAATGCCCAAATTACCCTTATTTCACTTATATTTATTTTAACTCATAAAAATACTAATACTTTCATATTGTATACTATTAATTAAATAAATAATCTAAAAATGCATAATTCCCAATAATCCACAAAACCATCGAAAACCATCAAAATACGACTATTCTCAATTAAATAAATTAATTAAAATATTCCAATTAAATTTGAGGTGTTACAAAGGTTACTTCGCCTCGAAGAAAGAATGCATAATTCAAAGGCAACACGGTGCAAGAAGCCTCTTTCTAAATTATTCATGTTATCATCCTCGAATCGTTCGTGTATCGTCAGGAATGGCTCAAATATTTTTGAGCCAACGGAGAAGCAAATGACATCATACTCCTCATGCCAGTCCTGAAGAAGGTAGAGACATTCACGCTCCCCATGAGGAATAATTTGAGAAACCTCTAGTTAAAGACCGAAAGAAACGTCTTCTTACTTCTTTTTTCCTCGACATTCAAATACTAAAATCACTATAGAAACCTCCAAAGTTTAATATTTATGATGGAAAGGTAGATCCAAATGAGCATGTGTAATACCCTAATTTTTACCCCTAAGATCCCACATGTCATTTACATATTGCATCATAAACAAGATCGTGAGCTTTGGTTCCCTTATCCTCCTCTATAGGTTTGCTTCTGAGGGAGATCACCAAGCACCCTTGTGTATTTCTTATTTGCTTTTATTTGATTGTTTATGTTTACTAACCCTAATCAAAATCCAAAAAAATGTTTGTTTTTTCTTTTACTAACACTCTTTTCAGGAGGAAGTTTGGAATCAAGAACATCAAATACTAGTTCCTTAACTCGAATGAAATTCATTTGAACAAAGTCAAAGTTGATATGAAAACAATTCAAAATCAGTTTATCAAGAGTTTCCCAAGATTTAATTGTTTATTGCTCAAGAGACTCTAAGGTTCATGTGTTTACCTTCATGCCTTCTTTGACAAGTCAAAAGAATCGAGCCAGAACCAAGACAACACGGAAAAAAACCATTCTTCTCATTTTTTCACTGTGTTAATCGATTAACCAAAAACATGTACAGATCGGTTAATCAATTAACACGTGTGTTTTTGACTAAAAACAAAATTTTCAAATTCTGCAGCATTTTGGCACCAAAATTCACTTGTTTCATCTTGAGAATATTCTAGATCATCTCATTTTAATTCCCCTACCTCATCATAATTAATTCCCATCATACACCCTCATTAATCACCACTTGATCTTGATTTTGCCTCCAAATTCAATTTCCAAGCCTATATTAAATTCCAATCCAAATTTCAAAC